TGCTAAATTAGGGACGGCTAGCGCGGATAGCCCTTGTATAGCTTTGCGCGAAATTCAAAACAAACAAACAAATCCTTCTCATAATTCCCTTTTCACCATATTCTTTAAACAAATGTAATTTTAGTTTGTTAGTATCAAACAATCTTAACCTGCTAGCTTTGCGTCAGTTATAATGAGCTGTAAAAATGAAATGATTGTTGTATGTAAAAACCTCACAAATAAAAGCGTTTTTCATATTTTTTTAATATGTCTACAGTTCCTTGTAAAACTTTCATTAGTAATGGCGAGCAAGGTTTTTATGGAGTATATTTGACAGACACGTCATCTTCACAGTTTTCGGACGTCTTTGGGCTATAAAACTCTTAGGGTCCAATCATGCTGAGATAAACTGACAAATTGGATTTCCCCGAAAATGGTGTGTCTTAAAATGTTAGATTAGAATTTCTTGTGTATCCTACAATCTTGTTATTCCGTTAAAATCTAATGATCGTAAACAAAGTTAGTCACAGGTTTTTAGCTGCCAATCAGAATGACAAGCTAACATCATGTTATATCCTAATTATATTGCTTTGCTTAAATTCAAGCATGAAGCTGATAATTTAGTCGTCCACATAACATTATACCAGTTATACTTGTGAGAGACTTATTGAACTGTGATATTAGGTTTGAGTCTGTTTGTTTGTTTGGTTCACACAGTTGTCGTAAACTACTGATCTAAGAAGTAAATAACTTCTTTTGAGAAGTTTTTGAAACATAAGCATTTTAAATGCAAAGACAAATTAATTGCTAGTTACATAATGACCAATTAATGTTTCAATAAAGCACGAATTCTAGTGTTATTAATCTAGATAAATATATCATGTTCAATATTTGCAGTTTATTACCTTATGGAGTATTGGACTAAATGAAGCCCATGAAGAGTATTATTCGTCAAATCAAAACGTACTTGGATAATATATCTTAACAAACCAATACTCTATCGTGTGGAAATTTTCGGAAAACCCAAAAGACACTCATTCCTTTCATGTTTTTCTTTTCTTACAATTTACCTTCTGGGCTGAAACATTTTAAAAATATTATCAACCTAAAATTGGAATACCAATTCAAATTATTAAGAATGTAATCGGTTTAGGCTTAAAATAAAGATATATTTTTGTTTAGACCTATAGATCGTACAGAGGAAGATATAGAGTTAATATACAACAGACTAAGAGAGATAAAAGCGTTTGAACATATTCAGTCCACTCTACTGCAACAGATGTGTTATTATGGCTATTACGAAGATTTGGACAAAGGAATAACACGTAAGAATATATATTTTATACTTGTATTTTTAATGAAATCTAGAGTTAATGTGAATTATATGAGGAATAAAAAATCTCAAAAAAAAGTAATACTGTAAATATATTTTAGTAGATTTCTTGAGCTGTCTTCACAGTTATTATTAGGAGACTACTGATAAGCCGGTACAGTAGGCAGTTACCATTATTTAATTAAACTAAATTGAATTAATTATACGTAAATTCAGCCTATTATGATATGTGCTGTACTTTATGGGCATTAATTTATTTAATAACATATTGTAAAACCTACTTTTACAGGACAATATACACGATGGGATTCTTTCAGTCCTAAAAGTCGCAAAACGAACCTTATTGCTACTTTAGTCCATCGGGCTCTAATTATCTGTTCAAAATCTAAACTAGATTTCGAATTGAAGACAATTAAAAAACTATTTTACTAGAAAATGGGTATCCAGAAAACGTCATCAATCAAATTACTTCAAGGAAAATTGCGAGTTTCTCAACTGCCTCAAATTTGTTCCTAACAAGTGTCCTGTTTACCTAAAACCACCATGGATTGGTAACCTTTCAACAAAATTTGAAAAACAATTGAAAACGGCCATTATTAAATGTTTTCCTGAAGTGAACCCCTACTGTGCTTATTCCACACGTAAGCTGTTGCCTGCAACACAAAAGATGCGATACCTACCACACAGAAAAGTATGGTTATTTATGAATTCTCGTGCCACTGCGAATATCGGTACGCAGGTCGCACTTCACAAAAACTGCAGGATAGAATTAAACAACATGTACCCACATCTATAAGAAATAAGACTGTGAAAGAAAACAATTTACCGTATCGCTCCTGTAAAACAAAAGTTCTACCACCAAAATGTGAATCAGCGATTGGCCAGCATTTACTAGTGAACCTGACTTGTGCTGACAACTACAAAGATAGCAGGTTTAAAATTATTGCAAATGGTCTGTCAACTTTTCATCTCTATATTTTGGAAGCCACCTTTATTAAAACACATAAACCTGTCCTTTACCGCCAAAAAGAATTCCTATATAATCTACACATCCTTCAGTAGGTCTGTGACATTTCCTGATTGGCTTAAGGACATGACAATCAGTGATTGCCTTACCGGCCTACGTTGATCTGACTCATTTTATAAGCTGCACGATTTCCTATAGATCATTTTCCAGACGATTCTGCTATGATTAGTGTCTGGCGAAAAGCTTCAGCAGATATTTCCTTTGCAACATCTCAACCAACAATTTCTCCAGTTATCAACGCTATTTTCAAGTTTTGAACGACTCGACTTTCAAGATCTACATATCTACATGTGCCGATGTTTCCGTTTATCAACATTATATTTTAAGATCTGTGCAAGAACTCAGCTAACAGATGTTTCCGCATATAAAAGCTATTTTCAAGTTTTGTACACCGTAAAAACCTTTCAAGTAATTACAGATTCTCCAAAAACTAACAGAAAACATAAATTGAATATTTTATATATTTTTAAATTAAGCTAGTGAAATTTTAATATTCTAATACAAAGAGAATAATTTAAGACCTACTTCCTTTCATTTGAAATTTAGGTGTGCAATTTTGAAGCAGAACAAGATCACTAATAGTCAACCTCTGAAAACAGTGGACAACAAAATAGAAATAATTTATGAAACTATTTTGCGCCTGTAGTAATCATGAAAAAACAGCACTCTTAAACCAAAAACACATAAACAAAAGAATATCTAATATATTATATTTTAAGAACCTCAGTTACAAACGCGATATGTTTGATTTAGAACACAGTTAGCGAATCTGAAATACTTCTTTTCTTTGCATAAATAGAATGATGTCCTGTGTAAGCTAAAACTACAACTACCATCTTTTTAAACTTACTGTTCAAACTTATCTATGATACCAGAGTTTGATAGTTTTTATGCTGTCGTTGTTTTAACTCGTGATTAAAAATAGTTAAGAAAATAATTAATAAAACTATGCCACTACTACAGCATCGTAGGTTGAAATCATTTTGGAGTGGTTGTTGAAATGATTTTACATTCTTTCCATACAATTGTTTGAGTTTTTATTCATTTCAGTTTGTTCCCCATTCTTCTAATAATTGTCTAACAGATTCATGGAGAGAAACAGATAAAACATGTAAAATACACTGATACATCATTGTAAGAAATGTTGTGTAAGTATGTTGGAACAAAGTCGAGAAATAATGTTCTCCCAAAGCAGGAAATTGTTCTCGATAGGAACTTATATGTCCACTTTTGAAGGAGCGTTCTGTTTGATTTACGGTCTTTACAAATCTCGTAAAACTCAGTTGTGGGACTCTAATATTCTTGTTACTATTTCTTAAAATATTGACGAATTATTCTTTTTTTAGAATAAATTAACTGATCCATTTTAGTAATTTGATCGTCGGATCACAACCCTGTTTGCTTTTATGTCACCGATTTCATCCCAAGCCTTTTTTTTACCTTCTTGTTATGAGTTTTTACCCGTTTCTAATCATTTTTTTATGTTTATAAGGTGTCTACGATCTTCTACGGCATATGTAAGATTGCTGTCAAGAATCATGTTCATATGACATGAAACTGTGCTATAAACAACTCCTCTATCATAAGTTTCCGAATTTTCATTAACAATTTAGGTGGTGGCATTCAGTTAGTCAGTTCCAGGGTAGTATAATAGTCTAGATACACTTTTGCATGTTAGTAAGCCAGCCGATCTAATATATTCATCTTCATTTAAACATTCTACGTTGGTTCTTTATAAGTAATGTGTCATTATTGATTTGTTACTGATAGCGGTGGAGAATTTGAGAATATTATAATAGTTGACTTTGTTATAGAATAAGCTCTTGGTAATTTTATTCACAACTTACGTAGCTAAATTATTGTTCAATATTTGCGTCTTCTTATAAGTTTAATAATTAATAATAACAAACGGGCTTGATATTTAGAAAATATATAATTCTATAAAGTGTTGTGAAAGTGCTTTTATATAAATTTTCGTTGAAGCTGCCAGGGTTAAATATAAAGAATAAAACAAATAATGTTTCCGAGATTCGATCTCGTTTCTAGATTTCTGGTGGTATACATACTAGGTTCTGTTTTGCTTTAAAACATATTCATATAATACAATACAGTTAGCTAGAATTAAAACCAAGCGAGACACTAAGTTTGAACGGTGTATCTCTTTCACTGCCATAGAGACACACTAGATCAATTTTGTTCTACCCTTCAAAAGCCCCCCCCCCCAGTGGCACAGCGGTATGTCTGCGGACTTACAACGCTAAAATTCGGGTTTCGATACCCTTGGTGGGCAGAACACAGATAGCCCATTGTGTAGCTTTGTGTTTGATTACAAACAAACAAACCCTTCAAAAGTGAGATCAAATCTCATACCATCACGAAGAAATTGTATTCGTCTTTAAGCTTTTAAGTGTCAAGGTAGAGATAAGTCTTTTTATTTGTATCTGTACCTAGAAATATACCTTTCACAGTGAAAGTTGTTTATCTCTAAACGTGTTAATAAGAGTTAACTTTTCTCTTACGTTGAAATGTATTATATTTATAGATTATTTCTATAATTTTAGCTTATTATTAGAATCCTTTATTTAATAATATGTAACTGTATGTTTGAAGAAGCAGAAGAAAAACCATTTGATAAAACCTTCTTCAGTAAGTTTGAATGTCGTTTTGCGTCATGATAACATCATTAACATTCTACCAAAATTTTATGTGAGTGAAATGATGTCAGAAATCTTAATACAATTTATGTAGGTGTAATTAATTCTAACTATGGGCTTATTGAGAATATTATTTGTTTGAATTAAACCTGGTTTAGGCTGAAACTGGTATATTTATCTGTCCTCCTTGTATAATTATCGCTGTTATACTCCATTGAGTATCTTACACCTGAAAAACAAACTGACATATCTATTTCTAGTCTTATTAAAGGTACTAGGAACCACTGCCTCCTTTTCTCTTACTCCCGATATAAAGTGTCTTCAGTTAATACTCACGATACTGATGTGTTCTATAATCATTAAGCAATTTTATAAAACGCAATTTAAATGTTTAGTGAATCCTTTAACAAGTATCTTACGTTGAACATTTATTTTTTTATATGTACCTTCAAGTTAACGTATTGCATGCTTTTCTCTAGTGTTTCGACAAGGCGACAGAGGTGCTAACTGGTATGCTGTGTTAGCGGGTTCTTTAGACGTGCAAACTTCCCAGACGGGCAATGGACGGGTAGGTATCCTGTTGTGTAATGCTACAGAACTAACTTAAATGATAAACAGTTCATAATGAAAATTAAAACTTCATAAGATGAATAGAAATTATTCGCTGATATTGGAGAAGGTTTCTTGTTTAAATTAGTACCAGACTTCGTTTCTGTAAAAAAAAACAACAACAAAATCAATGGTCATAAAAGTCACAAACATTTAACGTCAATTGTACGTGCAACCAATTGTTATAACAAAATATTAAAAATAGTGTCGGTTGATGTAATATATATCAAACTGAAACACTAAATTTAATTTGCTAGGCCTGCGTTAAACCGAGTACTATGAAAAATGTAACCGTACAGAGTTTAAGTACGTTATATTAAAATAATTCTGGAGCCTCCCCACGTCTGGTCATGCTCTATCTGCTGACCGTGATTTTGATAATAGCCCTAGTGTAATTTCTATTACAAAAAGCTCCCTCCTAAGGCTGTCATGTGAAAAGCACGTCCCTCCTTCCCACATTCTTTATACAATCCATTCAATGTACAGGACGGCAGTTTCCCAGCATCCGTTTCTACAGTGCGATCGCACAAAAATTCTTAGGCGCTGTATCCGGCGAATTGACCAGTTTGTCTTTATACGAAATAACATGAATACCCGTTTCATTCTCCATCTGCTTAAGGTAAGTGGCAGTTGAGCAGGTTAATCAGATCCTTCTTGATTACTTTATATACTGTTGCCTGGGGCACGTCAATGGCCTTTGCCACTAACCTTTGTATTATTGATTTATCACCTGTTAGACGCTGCACTTTGCTACCGCTGTTAGGATCAGGACCGCCAATAAGGGGAGCAACGGGGGGATTTCCCCCGGGCCCGAGGTCATCAGGGGCCCATAAAAAAGCAAAGAAAAAGGTAACATGCATAAAGATTTATATTAAAATATAACCAGCAAATTAGTTCTTAGAAGTTAGACCTTAGCGAGTCTGTGAAACCGGTAGTGTTCAGTTTGTTTACGAGGTATTAAGTAATGAACTTTGTGAGTAGTACGATTATGGGGGCCCAGTTGTACATGATTACCCCCGGACCCAGAATAACTCTCGGCGGTCCTGGCTAGGATACAACTGTTTTCAGGTCAGGGCTTCAAGTGGATCCATATTCCTTTATTTTCCAATGTTTGCAATTAAGAAGAAGGGACATCCACGTCTTATAAAATATAAATTCCCCATCTGAACATTTTTTTTATATTTGAGTGTATGAAGATTTTACATACGCAAAGGGATTTCCAAAATCAGTTAATTTTCTGTTGTATCACACTACCTACGAAAAGTCAAACAATAATGGTGTATGCTACTCCACTGCGATTTTTTTTTTTTTTTTGCTGTGACTGTTATGTGACTTGATGATTTGCATATTCAAAAAAGTTTTAATATAACAAACTCGACCCTCTGTATAAGACTTTCACAAACACTACTGTTTAGGAAATACAACAATCCATGAATATAGTAAATCTCAATGAAAGCTAGAAAAAACAAAACAAATGAAATTCATCCCATTAGGTAAAGATGTAGATGTTAAGTTACAAGTTCCAGAGACAAAAAAGAAATATTATACAGGAGAAACATTAAAATAATGTCTCTATTTTTTCATAAAACAACAAAACTATCAGTGAAATAACTTGACAGTCTTAAAAGTAAACCAATCTATTATTTTATTGCGTTGAAAGTAGCATTTTATCACTGGCGTTTTAGTTTATTAATTTTTGTTTGCAAGTAGTTAAACACAAAGCAACACAATGGATATCTTACCAGGCTTACCGCTGTGCTACTGGGGGGAAGTTTATTAACGTAAGCTTATCAGTACATAGAAAGTGATATAACGCAACTAAATAAGAATTAAAATAAATACTTTCTGTTCACTACGGTATGAGTCTCAATTTTATTCTTCTTATTCAGCCCTACTTGAGAGCAGTTTGAAATATTTACAGACGACTATGCAGTTTCAAGGTATTTCGATATCTTTACTGACTGTACTTTTAGACAAGCGCATATACTATCACATTTTGCAAAAAATGTTTCGTATTTTTACTTTTACTTAGCTATTATTACAACAAACTACTTTATATTGATATAAGATTTAATTTTTCTATCTGGGCCTACTGACCCAGAGAGTATTGTTTGCGTCCTGTTCCCGTAAAACTCGAGCTCCGCACTTTTAAGCTGTAGGCGCGTTTTAAGAGTGACGGTCAAATCCCATTATTCAATTAGAGTAGTGATATATGCAGGCGAACTTAATTAATTTCATAGTATAGAATAAGTCCACTAATAATAACATATTGGACAAAATATTATTGGATAATGCTGACTGTATACTGGCTGAGCTTATGTCTAGGAATCACAGAAGTGAACATAAAGTGTAATACACTCTGAACGTAATCTTTATTAAAACCTGAAAAGATTAAAAACACAGAGTGTGTACCTACTATTTACTACAGTCGTCTCTTCTACTTGATCAGCTTCAGGCTTCGGGGTGAATTCCTGAAGAACTGCACTTATTAAGAAACAAGAAAGAACTGTCTTGCAATCACCACGTGATCAGTCACTGTTTCTCAACATGCGTTAACAGGGACATAAAGTCATCATCCAATCGCCCAGTAGCCAGCGGATGGATGCTCCAATATGACAGAGAGAACGACAAAATCATGAACCGAGTTAACGGTTTTCTGGTTGATTGGTTGTTTTGAATTTTCGCGCAAAGCTACACGAGGGCTATCTCCGCTAGCAGTCCCTAATTTAGCAGTGTAAGACTACAGGGAAGGCAGCTAGTCATCACCACCCACCCCCAATTCTTGGGCTACTCTTCTACCAACGAATAGTGAGATTGAACGTCACATTATAACGCCCCCACGGCTGAAAAGGTGAACATGTTTGGTGTGACGGGGATTCAAACCCGCGATCCGCAGATTGCGAGCCGAGCGACCTAACCACCTGGCCATGCCGGGCCGGTTGTATGGATCTTGTAATTTATTTGAAACCAACACATATTCAGCAATAAATTTAGAATCAATACTTGAGATTCTCAAAGAAAGAAATCTGTGGTATAGTTTTATACTACATAGTAACCGAAGGGCTCGAGGTGAGTGCTGTTGTGTAGCTGTATTACTTATTGTCTATCAGTTCAAAATTAGGGCTAGCGCAGAGAGCCCCTGTGTAGCTTTGCATGAATATCTGAAAGAAACAACAAAAACAGTTTCGTGTTTGTTATTATATTTTTCATTTGCGTACACTACTGTCTTGTTTAATGTCTTTATATGCATTATAATCTTATACAGATATTGCAGGTATTGATATCTATCTATCTATTTTGGCTTATTTGGAATACATGTGCTAAACGTACCTTCCACATATTTTATTGTACATGTACTGAACTGACTGGAGAGTAATCGATTGGCCACCAAGTCACGTGACACCAGCAGCTGTGTCAACAGTATGTGTTAATTGTTAGGTTTTCCCGCATGGTTACGGTTGACATGAGCTTTGCACATACGTTTTTATCACAAACATCCATCAACGAATCAACCAACTGTTTCCAGTGTGAAATACGAACAAAATGCAGCTAGACAGACAGACAGATAGATAGAAAGAGGTTCTTGATTTTTTCTTTGGTCTTATTATCATAGGTTACACTAGCTTACATGAATTTATTCCAGATTTTTAACTTATAAAATCTGTGAAAATCTTGCTCTTCGTGTCAAGTGATGATACATGGCACTAGAGAAAACTTAATATAATGATTATTATTAACAATTCTGTTTGCACTGAGAGAGCTAATATTACAACACAATATTCTGTTAAAAAGAGAGGCATATATATTAAAAGATATCGTTAAGCTGGCGTAACTGTTACTTATTTCTGTTAGGAAGAAAATCACACATCTAAACATATTCGCTGTTCGAAAATAAATTCTTTTTTCTCAGAAAACATACTGTGCCAAATCGTAACGTATTGTTACGTCTCCGTTTGTTAATTGATTTTCCGTAACTTCGTTCCGACGAAACTTTAGCGACACAAGTCCTTACTTCATAAAACTGGTTTATTCTTTCCGAATACAACTTTACGATACACTTATTTTCAACAGTCGCTCTATAACAAACGCTATATCAACGAACGTCAACAATACTTCTGACTGCAATTCAATTACTCACTATCTACACACACATTGTTCCGTCACGTTGTGAGTGTCTTATTTATATACCAGAAAAACACATATCTAGTAAGTGCTAGGGCATTCACGAAGGAACAAGATACTTCTAGAAAATAGGTGGCGTCACACTAGTCACGTGACCTCGATGACGCAACAGTATTCTTTTAACCCCTAAATCGGGAAGCAATCGTCTGATAATTAGTGGCTGTTAGGTCATCACAATATTTAGCATACGACAAAAAAGCACTACAATAATTTAGTATTAGAGCTTTTGAATTATACAACTTTTGTACTCATTGATTTAACTCCTTTATAGAAATTTCATTAAAAAAATTAGTCCCCCCTTTTGTGTCAAGATTTCGATATGCAAAATAATTTACTCACATAATACCTATTTTCGGTGCTTAAGCAAGTCCTTGTACACTGGGAGAATGTCAGAAAATATGTTTACACTAGTTTCAGTTGTAAGTGCAATTGGAAGGTGTGAAGTCTTTGATTGTCTTAGATCGTTTAGTGATTGACACACTTAGCTTTGATTCACCAAACCTCAACTAACGAAAGTTATGAGAAGTAAACACTGCGTTGAGTGTGCTACAAGTCATGAAAACCATTCTTACAGTGTAAGTCCAGGTCAAAACGGAATTGAGCAAAAGTAGTCTTACTATAAAAAAAAATGTAGCGTTAGAGCTCTCAGACTCACCGCTTAGCCTCTGGAAGGAGGGGGGGGGGGCGTTTCGACTAAATAGATTAGTTCAGATTATACCATCCTCGTCAATAATCCTTGGCTAAGCCAAAGATAAGGATAAGCCAAATTTCAATTAA